ACTAATCGAAAGCATTGGTTCGCCAAACTCGACTTCTTGCGTAATGTGTTGTCTTTGCCGGATAGCGCAAGACCCTGTACCGCATGACGAACCAAGGACAGAACTTGCGCGTTAGGATATGAAGTTTAACTTCGACCTCCAATACCCTCCCCATTTCTTTAATCCATTATAACATTTTCTTCGTGCGAAGTAATCACATGCTAACAGGATAATTAAGCTCTAAACACGAGGAGGAAACGAAGTTACAGGCATCATAAATACGGTCACCTCTAACCAAGGCCCGTGAAAACTACCTAGACAAACTTATGTCGATAGGACGGATTCCATAATGCGAAAGTGAATACAATGTCCTTTCGAGATTTCCACTCTAGTCTTATTTGAACTATATGAAACCCCACGAAATGCTTTGTGTACCTGATGCATTGCGATTAAATAGTGATTTACGCAGGTAACACCGTCTATTTACCGAGCATTTGAATTTCAGAACTCTTAAAGAGGTTTTGTACAGGTCAGTTCGTTTATTTCAGCAACAGAGCACCGACATTCAAAAAAACATTTAGTATTTATTGACAAAATTCACAGCTGTCCGTTCCTTGGAACACGTACATTGAGTCCCGAGAGGAACTTGAAAGATGTAAGTAGGGATTTTGATGTCCGCATCAACTGCCAGTCACCAATGCAGGACAACCAACGACGGCATTGGATTGGACAGACGTGGATCGCCGATGGACCAGACCGGAGCAATCTCAAGGCTGCCGCCGTTCCATGTTCATCCCGAACACTGCGCTTCGTCGTATTTAGTTCAGAAAATCTGTCATTTGTACACGAGGCGCCATTTGTCCACTCCAGTGTGTGTGATGCGTTTTTAGTGGCGCTTTCCGATCGGGAGATCGGTCACCTTGGAAACCTCAGTGGGCTTACGCCCCCCAGCGGCATCAGCGAAATCACTTCTGGCATCTAACCAGCGGACAACGCCAAGCCACTGAGTACGAGCGAAGCAGGAGGCTTATTGAGGTTGAGCTTCGCCCTAGGGGAAGAAAAAGAATTGCATAAAATGTGTTTGAGGAATTATTTTTCAATCAACTTACAACTATTGGTAGGACCTCTGTAAAATTGCATGAAGATTGGTTTAAGAGAGCAAGAAGTTGTAAGTCA